AGTGTGTCACCTTGGGGTGCTCCTGTGTTATTTGTGAAGAAAAAGGATGGAACCATGAGACTCTGTATTGACTATAGAGAGTTGAACAAGGTGACAGTACGTAACAGGTATCCTTTGCCTAGAATTGATGATCTTTTTGATCAGCTAGTGGGAGCTCAAGTTTTCTCTAAAATTGACTTGAGATCTGGATACCATCAATTGAGGATCAAGGGAGAGGATATTCCTAAATCAGCCTTCAGAACCCGCTATGGGCATTATGAATTTCTGGTGATGCCATTTGGGTTAACTAATGCTCCTGTAGCGTTCATGGATTTAATGAATAGGGTGTTTAAGCCTTACTTAGATAAATTTGTTGTGGTGTTCATTGATGATATTTTGGTGTACTCTCGAAGTATAGCAGAACATGAAGAACATTTACGGCTAGTTTTACAAGTTCTGAGGGAGAAAAAGCTTTATGCAAAGCTGAAGAAATGTGAGTTCTGGTTGAATAGTGTTGCATTTTTAGGACATGTGGTGTCTAAGGATGGGATTTCAGTAGATCTGGAAAAGGTTAAAGCAGTGGTAGAATGGAGTGGACCTACTAATGTGACTGAAGTTCGGAGCTTCTTGGGCTTAGCTGGGTATTATAGAAGATATGTGGAGGGATTTTCTCGTATTACAGTTCCATTAACTCGATTAACGCAAAAGGGTGTGAAGTTTGAGTGGATAGATGAATGTGAACAAAGTTATCAAGAGTTGAAGAGTAGATTGGTCTCAGCACTTATTCTGACCATTCCTGATGATAGTGGTGGTTTTACAATTTTCAGTGATGCTTCAATGAAAGGGTTGGGTTGTGTTTTGATGCAACATGGCAAGGTGGTAGCTTATGCCTCAAGACAGTTGAAACCATATGAGAGGAATTATCCAACTCATGATCTCGAACTAGCAGCAGTTGTTTTTGCTCTTAAAATTTGGAGACATTATTTATATGGTGAGAGGTGTGAGATATTTACTGATCATAAAAGTTTAAAATATATTTTCACACAAAAGGAGCTAAATATGAGATAGAGGAGATGGTTGGAGTTACTAAAGGATTATGATTTGGTAATCAATTACCATCCTGGGAAAGCTAATGTGGTAACTGACGCATTGAGTAGGAAGAACCATAGTATTCTAACTGTTTTAATTACTTCTCAAAGGTATATCTTGGAAGATTTGATTAAGATGGATGTTAGAGTATATAGGCATGACTCAGATGCACTTTTGGCTAGTTTGCAAGTCCAACCGACCTTGATCGAGAAGATAAAGACTGCCCAGTTGGATGATCCATTTCTGCAGCAAATGAGACAAAAGGTGGAGTCCAACGATCCCAAACTGGAATCTTTTAGGATTCATGAAGATGGTTCTATTAGGCACGGTGATCGAATTTGTGTTCCTAATGATTCAGAGTTAAAGGAGGTAATTATGAAAGAAGCTCACAATACTGGGTATACGGTTCATCTTGGAAGTACTAAAATGTACCGCCGAGATTTGCGAGGAACCTTCTGGTGGAATAACATGAAAAGGGAAATAGCCAATTTTGTGGCTCAGTGTTTGACATGCCAACAGATTAAGATTGAGCATCAAAGACCAGCTGGCAAGTTGTAGCCACTTCCTATTCCAGAGTGGAAGTGGGAACATATAACCATGGACTTTGTCACTGGTTTGCCTGCAACAAAAAATGGAAATGATTCTATTTGGGTTATTGTTGATAGGTTAACCAAGTTTGCCCATTTTCTTCCCTATAAAACAGGAATGCAAATAGAGGGATTTGCAAAGTTATACTTAAAAGAGATTGTGAGGTTGCATGGGATACCGGTGTCTATTGTTTCAGATAGAGATTCTGGTTTTGTTTCTCATTTCTGGGGCAGCGTACACAATGCTTTAGGAACAACTCTTAATTTTAGCACCGCTTATCATCCACAAACAGATGGACAATCTGAAAGAACCATTCAGACTTTGGAAGACATGTTGAGAGCATGCGTAATTGATATGAAAAATTCCTGGGATCACCATTTACCTCTCCTAGAATTTGCTTATAATAATAGTTACCATGCAAGTATTAAGATGGCTCCATATGAGGCTTTGTATGGGAGGAGGTGCAGGTCTCCAATATGTTGGACAGATGTTGGGGAAAGGAATTTGTTGGGCCCAGAGTTGATCCAGCAAGCTACAGAGAAAGTTCATCTTATACGAGAGCATCTTCGTGTTGCACAAAGTAGGCAAAAGAGTTATGCAGATAATCGGAGACGTGATTTAGAATTTGCTGTGGGAGAGAAGGTATTTTTGAAGGTGTCACCTACTAAAGGTGTTGTGAGGTTTGGTATTCGAGGGAAGCTTAGCCCTCGCTTTATTGGTCCCTTTGAGATTTTAGAAAGGGTTGGAGAAGTGGCTTATAGGTTGGCATTGCCACCAAATTTATCGGAGGTGCATAATGTTTTTCATGTATCAATGCTAAGGAAGTATGTTCCAGACCTTAGTCATGTGATTGAGCATGTTCCAATCCAATTGAGAGAGGACCTCTCCTATGAAGAACAACCAATTCGTATTGTTGACCGAAAGGAGCAAGTGTTGAGAAGACGTGTTATACCCTATGTTAAGATTCAATGGAGTAATCATACAGAGCGGGAGGCAACATGGGAGTTGGAGGAAGATGCTAGGAAAAAATACCCGCAACTTTTTGATGAACAAGGTATGAGTTTAGGGACTAAACTCTTTTAAGAGGGGAAGAATGTAAGACCCAGAATTTTATTATTGTTATTATTATTTAATTCTTTAAGGATGTGTATGCAATAAGGTGGAAATATGAGGACCTATGTGTATAATGGTGGTAAAGATGAAGGAGTGGCTTGTAAAATGTGCAAAACTTAACCTAGAAATTGAAGATTAGCGTGTTATTCTGCAGAAACTAGGGGAAGGGGGCGGTGGGTTTCCTCACTCGAAAAAAAAAAAAAAACAGTAAGGTGACTGCACAAATTGGGGGAAAATAGTTGCCAAGCCCATTCAAGGTAAATTTCCT